AGCCCATCCACCAACCCAGGTGTAGGTGGGACTCTATCCCAAGTCTCTGCTACGACCAACAGGAGACCTTACCAACCAGTTGGTTGTCACCTTGCAAGTTGCAAGTGGCCGCTCTCAGACATGAACCCACATTCGCATGCTAGCACTCAAGATTTTATCATTACACCAAGGAATGGCCCCTTACCATCTCTTAGATAGATTAGAATATATCACTATCTCGCCTGGTGTATTTTTTTTATCAGCAAAAGAGAATTTTATTTGAAATTAGGTGAAAATAATGTTTCACATTTTGGTGTATGGGATTAAATCTCCCACACTATTACAAAATTCTGTCCCACTTTACATTGCAGCCCAAAACAATTGTTGCCTTAAAGCCCCTTGTTTAGCAAGATAATCAGCTAACCCATTTGCACTCCTTCTAACCCATTTAAATTCAGCCTCTACCTCCCTTGCAACCTTTTCCACTTCCTTTATCACTTGTTTGAAGGTCCACAAAATACTTCTATTGTATTTAGCCCAAGAAATGATCACCTTGGAGTCCCCTTCAACCTCAATATGCCTCATTCCAAGTTGCTTAGCTATCTTCAGTCCCTGTAGCAATGCCATTAACTCAGCTTTTAGAGAGTTGACCATGCCAATCGGTCCAGAGAACAAAGCTAATATTCTCCTTTCAGAATTTCTGATTACTCCCTCAATACCTGACAGTCCCGGATTCCCAAATGAGCTTCCATCAAAATTCAGTTTAAACCTGTTACCATCTGGAGATTTCCATTCCATCCTTACTTTCTTTTTCACTCTTGAGGATTGTGCTACTTCTGTCCAAGATCTTATATGTCTATGACTGAGAAATCTTGAAAGATATGCATAGATCTTACCCAGTGAGCTACTTTAACTTTGATGGTGTCGATTACCTTCTCCATTGTTCTACTCTTGTCCAAGAATATTCTGTTGTTCCTTTCTTCCCAAATCACCCAGCAGATAGTTGCCTTTGTAGCTTTCCACATAACCTTCCCTCTTTTCTTTGGTTGACTAAAAAAATCCCGGTTGAAGAGCCCTGCCATATCTTGAGGGGAAACCCACCTGCAACCAAAGAGAGTACAAAAAAATTCCCAAATGTTATGCACAAAGGAGCAAGATAATAATAGGTGTGCCAAGGTCTCACCACTTTCCATACAAAGGGAGCACATGTGAGAAGGGCATACAAAAGGCCTTCTTCTCTACAACATATCACAAGTATTAACCTTGCCAAAGGAAGATTTCCCAACAGAAAGCTTGAATTTTTGGGGGAATAGGCTTACTCCAAATTTCCTTCACAGGGAAATCCCCTACTGGGATACTAGGTGAAGAAAGAACACTAAAGAAGGACGAACAAGAGAAGAGGCCATCTGAGGAGCCTTTTCATATTCTGGAATCTTCCAAGGATGGGTCCAAATGAACTTGTCCTATTAGGTCCAAGAATTGAATTAAAGAGTCACATTCATTTTCCCTGAGGCCCCTTCTGAAACCCAGATTCCAATTAACCCCATTTGGACTAGGATTTCCAAAAATTCTTACTGTTTCCCCTTTGAAATTTGACAAAGTGTAGAGGTCAGGAAAAAGGTCCTTAAGTGGACTATCTCCCATCCAAAGGTCTTCCCATAAACGAATTTTATTACCCTAGCCCACATCGAATTGAATGGAATTAAGGAATGTTGGGTAAATTTCATAAATTGCTTTCCAAGGAGAAGCTGAAGAAACATGGGGGGCAACTTTTGCATCCCAACCATTTCCATCCAACCCATGAATACTCTCAATGACTTTGTGCCACAGCCTGTCTCTCAAAAGGGAATCTCCACAGCCATTTTCCTAACAAAACTGAGTTCTTGAGTGAGATGTTTCCCATTCCCAAACCCCCTTGGTCCTTGGGCTTTCTAACTTGATCCCAATTAATCAAGTGGACCCTCCTCTCCTCTCTTGGGTCCCAAAGGAAATCTCTCATGTACTTCTCTAAAATCCTTGCTACTCTACAGGGTATTCTAAAGGTGGAAAGGAAATAAATAGGGAGGTTTTCCAGAGTGGCTCTAATCAAGGTTATCCTTCCACCAAGAGAGATGTAATTCCTCTTCCACAGAGCTAGCCTCCTAGCAAATCTTTCGATGACTGGCTCCCAGAAATCTTTTGACCTAGGATTGCCTCCTAAAGGTAACCCTAAGTAGCTCATTGGCCAACTTCTAATCTCGCACCACAAAATCTCTATGAATCTATGTAGTTCCCCTTCCTCTAGATTGACCCCTACAATGCCTGTTTTAGACCAATTTATCCTTAAACCTATCACCCCCACAAAGTTATCCAATAGAAATTTTAGGTTTACCACTCCTTCCTCATTACTACCTTCACAAAAGAATATTGTGTCATCTGCAAATTGAAGATGGGTAACGACCACTTCATTTCTACCTATCCTCCACCCTCTAAGCAGTCCTTGGGAATCAGCTTTCGCTACCCCATTAATAAGTATTGAGTAATGGACAAAACTTAAGCATCCTCTAATCCAAGATCTCCATTTGGTTCCAAAGCCCATCCTTTCTAGCATTTGAAGAAGAACTTCCCAGTTAACCATATCATAGGCTTTCTCTAGGTCCACTTTACACACCAACCCTTTTCCTCTACCCTTTTTTTTTTCTGCAACAGACTCATTAGCTATTAGAATTTGATCCACAATCTGCCTTCCTTCCACAAAGGCACCTTGGAAAGGTGAGATGATCAATGGTAACACTTTCTTGATCCTTTCTGAGAGAACCTTTGCAATAATTTTATATACACTCCCAATAAGACTGATTGGCCTATAATCTTTAAGGGTTTTGGCCTCTCTCCTCTTCGGGATTAAAGTGATAAAAGTAGTATTCACCCCTCAAGGCACCTCTCCTTTGAGGAAGAACTCATTGAACACTTCCAGAATATCAGTTTTCATCCAATCCCAGCATTCTTGATAGAAGGCCATTAAAAATCCATCCAGCCCGGGGGCTTTTGATCTATCCATGGAAAAGATTGCATACTTGATTTCTTCCAAAGTAAAATTCCTTTCCAAAAACAAGGACTGCTCTTCTAAAATCCTATCTCCTTCCATTTCTGGTAGCTTTGTTGTCACCCCGCTTGAACCTGTGAAAATTTCCTTGAAATGGTTTACAAAAATCCTTGTGATTCCTAGTTCTCTCTTACTTCCTGACCCCCCTCCTCCACACTAAAGATTAAGTTTTTCTTTCTTCTTCCGTTTGCAATTGCATGGAAAAATTTGGTGTTACCATCTCCTTCAATAATCCATTGACACCTTGACTTCTGTCTCCAACATATTTCCTCCTTTCTTAATATCCCTTCCAATTCTTGCTTGATTTTCCATCGATCTTTTCTCTCTTCTTTTGATAACATTTCGATAGCCTCTTTCTTGTCTAACTCCTCAATCTTCCTCACTATATTATCTTTTATTTCCTCTACCCTCCCAAAATGCTCTTTATTCCACTCTTTTATTTTCCCTTTTATCCTCTTTAATTTCCATGCAAAGCTTAACATTTTCATACTCCTCAAAGGTCTAAGTTCCTACCACCATTCCTTCAATCTGATTTTAAATGAGTGATCCTCAAACCACATATTTTCAAACCTGAATGAAGTAGGGCCTCCTCCTGGACTTTCCTTCTCAATGGAAATGGGGCAATGGTCTGAAGTAGCCCTAGATAGCCCTTTCACTACTATTGAGCCCCACAATTCTTCCCAGTCGGGAGTAATGAGAAACCTATCCAGTTTGGAACAAGTTGGGGAGGGATTGAAAATTTGACCAAGTACAGTACACCCTTAGCATTAGAGGTTCACTCAATTCAAGGGAATCAATTAAGGCGCCGTTTGGCACATCTTTTTATGCGGTCTTTCGGCTGTTTACAAGCCGGGAAGACCGAAAATCGGTCTATTCCCATTTGGCACGCAGAAGATCTAGCCGCCAAAAGACATAGCGCTGAAAAGATGCGCGAAGCCCATTTTGGGCTGATTTTGGGAAGCTCCAAATGAAGCTTCCTGCGTCTTTCACGTTTTAATCTCGCACGGAAAGACCCGAAACGACACACGAAAAGACACGTGTCTGCCAAACGGTCTTCAGGCTGCCCAGATCTTATGTCAAAAACTCAGTGCGTCTATTGACTGTCAGAGCTACGAAAAGATCTTCTCAAAAAGACTTGCCAAACGGGCCCCAAGTTATTAAACTTTCTCATGCTGGTAGTGATTCCTTCATTCAGATTGTTTGTTTCTCCCAAAAATCTGATGACACTGAAATCATCTCCTACACACCAAGGTCCCTCCCATATTCCCCAAATAGCACATCATT